TGTTGAAAGTTCATGACAACAGTTCAAAAGAGGAAAAACCCAGAAGAGAGTTACTTTAGGGTTCACATGTTTTATATTCGAGAACTGCTGCTGATAAGTTTTATTTAGAGCTGCTGCTGCTGCTACTATCTTTAATGCCACTACAGTATAAATTGTTTGTCTTAAAATTTTCTTTAATTATCATTATCTAACTTATCTCACTTCAATAAAATAAATCAACAGTTCTATGACAACAAAGGAATTTCTGGCATTAGAATCAATGAGTTTTAGAAGATGTTAGGTAGGATTAATTTCATAAGTATAACCCATATAAAGTCAAGCATGCTTTACTATTAAGTTACAATCACAGCAAAGCAAAGCTCAGTTACCTTATTTAAGAAATGCACATTTCTTTTTAGGGCCTTTCTGTATCTTGCTAATTTCAAAAGATCCCAATAAGAGATGTGCATTTCTTAAATAAAGTAATTTCATAAGTATGTAATGGTAATATTAGCCATTTCCCTACAAGAAAACATATGGCATTTATTGATTGAGCAGGCAGTACTGCTGTTGGTTGAAATTTATAAAATCTTTCTGTTAAAACAATTTTTCAGGAAAACAGGTTTCTCATGTTCAAGAGCTGTTATCTTTCTTCTTTCCAGTATTGATGGGGATTTCCTTCCTAACCTTTTATTTGAAGTAGTGTGGAATGACAACATCTTGATTCTGTCATCATTTTCTCTTCAAGTTATTTGTGCTATTCATTTTAGTAGCTTCTGTTGGTAGTCCTCAAGTTGTGTGGTTTCTGTTATTTGGCACAGTTCTTTGTGATTCTCTAGTGCCAGTCCACAATCTTTATCCAAGCCCCACCCACCAACTTGCTCAAAGCCTTTCTTCACCTTTGATCTTAGGAAGTGTTTGTATACAGCTAACAGTTTAGATATTTCTGAATGGGTTGGCACTATGGATGATGTCCACATGGAAGTCTCAATCAGATGAGATTATTTAAGAATATGACTCAAGTTTTCAGGTTGATGTTTTGGTTTTATAGTAATTTATTGTGCTGGGTAAAACTATCTCTGGAACAACCTAATCTATGTTCAATTTCCTTCTCTCCTATACTTAATTTGTTACAGCTGATCTATATGCTGAGCTATCTGAAGTGTTTAGTATTTAATACATATTTTTATGATGGGTTCAGTATAGGTGCCATCACTGTTTTCATTCCAATTCCAGATCATATTTTCTCTTTTATATTGAATCCTATTTCTTGGAATACCTGATATAGGATGTTGATTTTCTGTTCAAGATAATTCTTACCCAATTATGAATACCTATGTCATCAGCATAGCCCCCACCCATCATCAGTGCATTGGCCTCAGGAGGGAAAAGCAGGGTTGTTGTCTTGTATTGGTAGATTCATTTAGGATGTAGTATGGAATGCTTAAATGGTCAGTGCACATCTCATAACATCTGTATTTGTAAATGCGCAGGATATGGTCTAGGAAGAAATTAAATAGACTGGGACTCTTATTTCCTCCTTATTGGATGCCTGATGAGTTTTGAAATGTTAATATATTAGGGTCCTTGCCAGACATGTAAGATTCTGTAGATCGATATAGTTCTTCTATTGTTAAATCAATGCTTTCAGTAGAATTGGAGCTTGGAAAGTAGTTTCTAATGGATGAGAAGATGAAAGCTCTATTAATGTAGTCATATGTTGCTGTGAGGTCAACAAAGCAGGTACACATTATAGAGAGGTAAGCAATTTCTTGGAGTTATCTGAAGGCATATATGCCATCATTGCATCCCTTTCCAGAATGTAAACCAAAATGGGTCATGAGGATTTGACATTCATAAAATGATGAGAGCCTAGTTAATAAAGTGTTAATACTTTCACCATGATGGATCCAATTGAGATACCTCTGTATATGTGAGATTCATGAGGACTACCTTTCTGTTTCCATAATGCATTAATGTGTGATAAACCTTACTTTTTGCAAATGCATTTCTGATTCCAGACTTCTTTCACAAAATAGACAAAGTTATTGAATTTGATGAGAAAGTAAGCTATTTTCAAAAGTTCAGCCTCAATGTCAAGTAATGTTTTATTATTCCTTAATTTTTTAATAGCTTTCTTAATTTACACTGTTTGGACCATTTTTTTTGTTTTCTTAATTTTTATCTCCTCGAGCAAGGCAGTAAAGGGGTGTGGAAGAATTAAGAACAGAAACATGAATAATGAACAGAAAGAAAAATGAGTAATCAGGAGGACAGTAGATAATGATTGACATTGCATATAAATTTTTGCAGATTAAAGTTGGCTGGAAAGAATGCAGCCGGAAGAGAGTTCCACAAGTGAGAAGTGTGAGAAAAGAAACTGTTAGAATAGAATTTACAGTTACATATAGCCAGCTGAACTGTAAATTGATGAGATCTTTAGGTCAGTCTAGTACTGTGCTTAAATTCATAAAGTCTATGTACCAGAGTGAAGAGCTCATCAAACAATTACCATGAAAGTATTTATAAAAAAGACACAGAGAGGCAAACTTATCATGGTGGGTAAGAGACTGAAGCCAAGCTGCCAGATCAGGACCAATAATATTGCTGATTCTTCTTTGGATCTTATCAAGGAGCTCAAGGTAAATAACAAGGGTACTGAACTGTATTTGGCAGCAATATTCTAAGCATGGACAAATGGTAGACTTATAGATATGTATGATAGATTCTGGAGAGAAAAACTGGCTTGCTTGACACAGTGAACTGACTTTCTTAGCAGTTGACTTAGCAATGGATTCAATATAGTCTTTCTACTTCATGTCAGCTGAGAACATTAGCCTGAGAAGGTGTAACAAATGACATTTCTGGAGTATCCTCCAGAAATGTCAACCATGCTGATGGAAGACAGAGAGGGTTCTCTCAGATGATTAATGGAGAGAAGTTTAGTTTTGAAGGCATTGTTCTCCTCTTTATTATTACAATAAATCTCTTCATGACCTTTCAACCATTGGAATTTGAAACCAAACCCTTTATTTAGTTCTCAAGGATAGATTGTTCTAAATACGCGTACCATGTCAATTTTAGTTAATTTGCCTTGTTATGCTTTTGATCTCTCCACTGAGGGATTGAATTCACAACTCTTTAGGTCAAGTCACTTTTAGGATCAATCAACCAACATGTGAACTTTTGGGACTTATAAACCTAACGTCTCAGTAAACATTTTTATCAGAGCTCATATTACAATTTTTTTTCATCACGTTTGTAACTGTCTTTTTCTTTAGCTCTCTGTATTACTGATTCCTATATTTTATTCATTTCTATGCTTAGATGGCATAGGATTTTTTGTATCTGAGCATATGTGCTGATTCCTTAAGTTTTTGTATTTTCCAGTGATGTTCACTGTCTATTAATTCAACTTCATCCCACAGAGGGTGGTGATCTCCCTTTTCCCTCTATATTTAATCAGCCATGCCTGATTTTTCTATTTCCCCTTATGTTACAGCTTTAAGATGTTCCTGCAGTCTTCTCTTAAATTCTCTTTATATTTCTTGCCTTAGCTGCACGGGATGATGTACACACAGTTCTTAGTCATGTTCTTCTTTATGGATGGTCTTACTTGGAAGAGTTGTCTACATTGTGTTGAACCAATCCTGAAGACTGTATTGATGCTATAAGGACTACAGATCTTTTTTATCTTTTCCAATAATCCCTTCACATAGAAAACATCCTCGGTCTGCCTACCCTAAGTGATGTTATTGTCTTGTACCATTCTTTGCCAATTTGTGGGGCTGCTGTCATGTTCTCAGGGTAGTTGTTATGTTGTAGAGTATTTCTCATACTAACCATTTCTTGTTCATATGTGTCTGGGTACCCACTTATGACTTCTGCTTGATATTGTAAGCAGCAGATGATCTCTGTGATATACAGATGTTGTGAATCCATGTTCTGTTCAAGATATTAGTACATCCAGGAACGCTAGTTTGTTGTCATCTTCTTTCTCCATTGTGAACTGTATTGATGATCTTATTGAGTTCACATTATCTCATAATAGCTGAACATCTTCCTGGTGGGGCAGAGTATGAAGGTGTCATCTATGTATTTCAGTCATAGAGTTGGCTTTAGTGATGTTGATTCTAATGCAATTTCTTCAAAATATTCCATGTATATGTTAGCCATTACTGAAAGACCTCACTAGAAATGGTAGATATAATAAAGTAAAGAAAGACCTAACAATGAAAATGGAAAGAAAAGTGTTGCAAAAACAAGGACCACTTGTCACATTAAAGCAAGCTAACTTACATATACAATCTCCCCAAAATTCACAAAGACACTACCCCTCTCAGGCCAATTGTTAGCTGCCAAGGCTCTGTATGCCACACTCTGAGTCACTTCTTTTTGGATATAGTTGACCCATTAATAAGAAAGTCACTATCATATATTTGAAACTCTGCCCACTTCATGGAAAGAATAAAAAATGCTCCTATATAATCAAACCAGATGATGTGCCTTCAAGTTAATAGTTTGAAAGAAATATAGCTATACAGAAGGTAATTATCTCCCTTTATACTGGATAAATTTACTAACATCTTCAGGGGCTTTGAGAGTTAGCTGCTGTGTAGACCATGAGGAAGATAGAAGTGGCAGCCAGTGAAATTGTTGCGTCCCTAATAAAGAACATAAAAGATATCACCTGATCTGGCATTTTCCCTTCTGGAAACATGACAAGACTTCCTTACATATACTGTTTGCTTTTTTCAAATGTATTTTCATTTTCTTTATATGGGGTAAAATGTGATAAATATATGTATTTTCATACATAACATTTTGTATTACATACTTATATATTCTAATACTGTATATAAAATGTGTTTAGGTACAATTCATTCTGAGAATTAATTCTTTGAGTTATTCTAGTCTTTCCTTCAATTGTGTCAAAGTGTTAGTCTATGATGGATAAATTAATGCCTAATGTGGGCCTTGGAGAATGGAGAAAACCAAAATATTTCTCTTTCCAAACAACTTTATAAGAAAGAAATAATTAGTAATAAAGAGAAAGAAAGAACAATTAAAATAGACTGAAAGATAAGAAAATACACTGAAAAGAATGAAAAAGTGAATAAATGAAAAAAGAATGAAAAATGAGGAATGAAAATAACAACAACTTGAATATCGTTCATAAAAGTAAATTTAATACTCTCCAAGCAGATTTAATAGTTTCATGGAATAATGCATATTGCAAGACAACAACAACTTAAAAAGTGATTTTATTATTTATGAAGGTGTAGGTGTGTACATGTTTTCATTAGTATTATTCAGTGTGTGTGTATGTGTGTGTGTGTGTGTGTGTGTGTTAGGTCTACTCCCCACCCTGATTTGAATTTGTAACTTGAATATGACCATAGTAAATAACACTTTCTTTTACTTTTATAGTTTGATGAAAAAGGCCAAAATTGAATTTTTTTGAATCCATCTAGATGATTGAAGGAACAAGTAACTGAATAAATGTAGGAATTGATTTGGTAAATTATCCTAATTGACATCCAGACGAAAAGGAAGTCATTCATATGATTTTTTTTCTTGCACAATATTTTAGAGTAGACATTCCTTTCCTTTTGTTGGCTCAATTCACTTCTTGTCCCTCATTCAATTATCTGAGGATGATTATAAACAAAAAATGAAAGTTCACATTTAAAAGCTTCTTCTGTTCCATGTTTTTGCATAATGAAGATCACAGAATTACCAATAAGAATGATTGACAATGTCCATTGTTTTGAGGGCATTTTAGTTACAGTCACTCAAAATTTGTTTTCAAATAAAACAGTTTATATTTTGGTCTTTTGCGTAATCCAAGGAATTTAATTTCCACAATGTTCAGTCATGCCTCAGATACCATCAGATGTCACTCTCAGAAATATTTTAAACTTTGTATAACTGTCCGATCGACATGTTTATCTTCATATTGATATGTCTCATTCAGTACTTTCTCAAATGGTTGACCACTGATAAGACTCTGGATGGCCCCAACTGACAATGTCAAACTGAAAAATAATGTTTTTAATTTAATAAATATACATGTATTTTACATTCATACATAAATTTTGTTTTGATAAAATCTATTTTTTAGATTTTCTTTTATATCCTCCAGACAGGTAGCATTTTAACATTCACTCATATTGCAATTTCTTGAAAGCTAGATTGTATAGTTTTCTCTACTTATACATAGGTATTTTATTGATGAGGTGAACTCTGCTACATGTTTAACAATTGTGGAACATCCAATGAGAAAAAAAAAAACTTTCACAGTGTAAACAGCAGTCAAAAAATAAATGTCAAATTCATTTTTGTTCGACTGACTGCATCTTGGAGAAGATCAACAACTGGAATTTGATTCAAACAAAATATTTTCTACCTAATCAAAAGAAGCTACTTATAAATGAAGTTTGATTACCTCCCAGGAGCTACTCTGGTCTTTAAATACAGAAACGGACTAGGATAAAACTAGTAACTTACCCAAAGCAATAATAGGTAGATGTTAGTCCTTAACTGCTTGTTATAACTATATATTTCCTTCAGTATCTGTCTATATCCCTGAGATGAGGTATTATGATTACTTGCATTATTTGGACTGTTACCCTCATCTTCATTGCCATATTCACAATGTTTTGGCCGTTGTACACTCCGGCCTTTTTCAGGTGAGTGGAATTTCAAACGGAACTCTTTATTTTGTCCACTTTGGTAAATTGTTTTAGTTCCACATGCCATGCCTCTTCCGGAAGTCTCAATTATTTCCCTTTAATTCAACTCTCCAAGTTTTGGTTCAATCTGGTATTGAACTCACAACTCTTAGGGTCTAGTCACTGGATCTAACCAACATCTTTATCCACTGGGCCAGCAGTAGTGAACCCAAAACTTGGAGAGTTGAGTTTAAGGGAATTAGTGAGACATCCGGAAGAGGCATGGCACGTGGAACTAGAACAATCTACCCCCAGCAGATGAAATAAAGGGTCTGGTTTGAAATTCCAATCAACTGAAGAAGACAGTAGTGTACAACATCCAAAACATTATGAATATGGCAATGAAGATGAGGGTAACAGTTCGAATAATGTAAATAATGCAAATAGATTTTCTTGTCTACAACTAAATACCATATAGCTACTACATCCCACCACATCCTGTCCTTTGAATCTAAGAAAATGATTACATCCAACAAACTTTCTGATGCACTAATATTAAATTTGGAATGAAATAGAGAACCACTGAACCAATATTCCATTGGATAAACAAATATTTGTTATTATTAATTGTAGAATCTACTTAGTTTTTCCTAAGGACATAAGAAGATTTAACTTTCTCCATTCTTAATCACTAGCAAATCTTTTTAACTCAGCCTGCTGTTCCATTGCCAAAGTGTATCTAGATAACGAGTACAAAAAGAGACTGTACCATATGAATGTGTTGTATAGCGTCATTTAAGGATGAAAAAGTAACTGAAATGAAGTAAAAACAAAATGTCTGAGTAATTCTTACCTTCTTGAAAATATATAATATTTTAGCTTAAAAAAATATAAGATTTTTTCCAGATTTGTGCTTTCTTTATCTGCAACAAAACAAGATGAAAGTTTAAGGAACAATATTGAAAACTTTCAATAAAAATAAAGAATTGAAAATAAATGACATTAGAAAAAAAAAGAAATAACCTCAATTTTATGTTTGAATCAAAAATGGCAACAGGAGGAAAATATTAAAAAATAGAAATTTCTTCATTAGCTCGTTTTTATGATTAAGACTGATATGACTTAAGCTTAAAACTTTTTTAAAATGAGTAAAAGGTTCAGAAAGTCTCTCTAAATTCTAAATCATATTAAAATTCAAAACATCTAATAGAGAACATTTAATAACACCTAAGAAATCATCTTAACCAAAACCCTATTTATATAACTGAGATACCTACTATAGAGCAATGTTTAGCAACATTGTATTACCATTGACTAATAACATAGTAAGATTGATACTCCTTGCATATTTTATAACTCTGGCCTTTTGCCAGATTGCTCTAAGGTTAGGGAATAACTTCTGAATTGTGTAACTTTAAAATGAAAGCCTAATCTGAAAAGTAATGTTTTTAATAATAAGGTAAGTTCATTTTAACATGAGAGCATAGAGGCAATGATCATATTAAATGTCTAACAATCTTGTTCACAAAATTTATGATGACTGTACAGATTGAACACTCGTTTCATTATATGTTTAATAGTTCTGTATTTGATAATCACTTTAAAATGAATGTACAATGATAGTTATCTGCTAATACTTACTTGGTATAAATGAAACTGTCTTTTCATACCAGCGAGGTCGTGTGCAAGTTGCTGTATTCATATTCCATTCAGTTTGATTCACATATGTGTACATATATCCTGCTGGTACATCAGACACAGTGTAAACAATATGAAATTCACCAGAAGGAACCTAAAATAAAAGTACATTAAAAATCAAAACAAGATCAATTATGACAGTCTCTCCATTATAACACTATATATTATTTAGTCTTTCAATTTGTTTTTTGTAGAAAATGTAAGAAAGTTTTATATTTTAATGACTGATAATTGTTTGCTATTGATTTAAAAGATAAATAAAAAAAATCTCACTGCTCTAATTAGTAAGATAATTTCATTGATATTGTTTTGGTAACAGATCTCTTGTACAATTTTATTTCACAGCAAGAATAACAATCGTTATTTTTTAAAGTTTAATGCAATCTAATACAGTCTAACAATCCTGAGATTCCTTTTGCTCTTGTTTGTTTTCAAATGTCTAGACAATCACAGAATCTCTACAATTGCAACTTAGAACCAACCAATCAACTGACACATACTAACAGTTGCAGCTGTTGTGGTAATGATATGATATTTATATATTGTTTGTTCTTAACATATATACAGTGTAATGATCATGTGGCTGAGTGGTTCTAATGTTGCATTTGAACTATGAGACCTGGGTTCAAATATCACCATGGTTGATTGATAAAGGAGGTGTCTTCTTCATAATATCAATCTAGAGCAGAGGTTCTCAACCATTTTTACCCATGGACCCTTTCCCCTTCTTTTTTCTTGGTGAACCCCTTAATAGCTATTTGACATATGACAACAATTCTATTCTATTTTTCACTAATAAAAATCCTTCTGAGTTGACTTTCTTCATGGACCACCAAACTATCATTGTGAACCCCCAATTTGTTATATTTTGCCTATGGACCCCCAGAAATATTACATGGACCCGTAGGGCCCATGTGCACCCCAGTTGAGAACCCCTAGTCTTGTGAAACAATCTTAACATGTGGTACTGTTGGGAAGTAGCTGAAAACCATAGTATGGGGTGATTCAAGCCTTGTGAGTGAAGTTGGATATGCAATAATTTTTAGAAGCTGAAGTCACAAGTCATTGTGACCGAGGTGTGATTAGTAATTGAATAAGGCCAATACACTAGCACTGGCTTTGTTCAATTACTGATCACCCAAGATTATGCACTCTCTTTCAGAAACTGTAACAAAAGTTTACACAGCCTAGTTTCAGTATAAACAGAATTTTGAAGAAACACAAATATACCTGAGCAGGCATCTGCAACTTGGATTAGCTACCCATCTGAGTAGAGTCTATATTCTCTTGAAACTGGTAGAGTTTTTTTTTTTTTTACAACTTATCGACCCTTGGTTGGTTGTTTAAAGATGAAATGGATGGATTCATACCTTTCTCTATTGTATTTGCATGTAAGTGAATGTAAAAGAATCCAAATGGAGGTCAAACTTGGCTCTGATTTCTCATTCTGAGCCACTACAGGGTGCGATGGGTAAATTGTCGCTATTTTGTATTTTTAATTTTTTCTTTCTTTCTACAGAATGCGATGGGTAAATTGTCGCCATTTTATGTTTTTAATTTCTTTCTTTTCTTTCTACAGGAGGTGATGGGTAAATTATAGCCATTTTATATTTTTAATTTTGTGCATGAATGTTTTTTGTTTGTGATTTTATCAACTGCACTGTATAGTAGTGTCAGTTGGGCATCGTCTGTGAGAAAAAGACCACCATGACGCAATTCACTCTGCCAGAAATTTGGAAACAGCATGCTGTACTGCTTGGCTGGAAGCTCCAATGTGAACATTTCAGAGTGTTTGGGTGTCAGTCTGAGGACAGTGCAGAAAATTTGGAAAGAGTTGGATGAGTCTAATGGTGATTATGAAGGTACAGCAGCTCAGAAAACTCACTGTGATCGTTCTGATAAGAAAAACCTCCTGAATTTGTTGGTGAGGGCCTCAGACTCAACATGGAGTGCCTTAAAGTGGTAGTACTGCCTTGGGTCAACAGTGTGTCTGCTGAAAGATCTTCTGTCTAGCAACAGGACTATGTACCATGCCACACAAGCAGGAGAACTTAGTCATGGCTGTCAGACAATTTCTGCAAGCACATCATCTCTTACATCTTGTAACCTAACTTGCCAGACTGCAACCCCCTTGATTATAATGTGTGGGGCACAGTTGAGCGAGAGACCAACAAAACTCCTTGTAAACCAAAGATGAACAAGGCTAGGATTATGGCAGCATTCACCAGCTTAAACAAGGAGACTATCCAGAAGAGTTTTAGCCAATGGTGATTTTATTGAATAAATTTAGTATTTCAAGATATTTTTATGTAATTTTGGTAAGTGTATCTGTTAAAACAAGATGTCTGTATTATTTTCATTTTTGTATAATTCAGACGACAATTTATCCCTCGCACCCTTGTATTTATTACACTTCTTGTACATCCTTTGACAGCTGCCTACTACTATATACAGGGTTAAATAAGACATTTTAAAATTCCCAAAATATATTAATTCTATTTTTAGGACTTATATTACTATACACAAGTCTAGTGTTGTTCTGATCTATATGTAAAATGAATTCTACCAATATTGACTTCTGAATGATGTCCAAATCAACATTTTAAATCTTGATTTACATCATCTTCTCATGAATAATGTTAATCAGTTGAAGGTATATTAAGAAGAAAGCAGAGAGGGGAAAAGTAATAAAAAGCACAACAAAGCAAAACACTTTGGATCTAAAGACACAACATAAATCTTATTACATATGACATTTTTGATTGTTACAAATAGAATGATGACATTGATGGTGAACGAAAGAAACATACCTTCATTTTATCTCCCTTTTTAAGAGTGTAGTTCTTCATCTGGTTGACAATTTCTACAACCACTGAACCCCGCAGGATGGTCAACTGACTGTACACCAAATCATCCGAAATAAAATTCTCCAAGTGATAACCTGAAATTTTTAGTACAATCATTTTGAAGCAAATTCTTCAAATCTTTTTCTGAGAATTTGACAACAGCACCACATACTGGGATTGCCACATTGCTTATGGTCTTGAGGACTATTATCCTCATTTTTGTTATTTTACTTTTCATGATTTAACTATATGTAAATATTCATGTATATAAAATAGAATGTGCATCCACATATGTGTGTGTGTAAAATTTCAGATAGAGTATATCTGTAAAAGGACAATACAAATAAAGACTAAAAGAAAATTTATCTTAGCCTATGTGTTTCATCCTCTGACAGACTTTATCAAGGCTAATGCAAGGATTTTCTTTTGTAACAAGTATTTATATTCAAGAGCAAAAATGTTATTGGTTTTTCCAAATTTTTAAGTTTAGGAATGCTCATAAATATTGATGATGTTAGCTAAAAAGTCAGGCAAACTATGGAGGACAAAAAGTGACACAATTCAATGTCTAATAAATGAAAGTAAGTGATGTTTTTGAAATTTTTTTATGCAAATTATTATTTAAATTATTTTAGTTTAGGATTAATTTATGTATTATATATTTTGAACAGCATATCTATATACCAATATGTACAACATCATATATTTTGGTTATCTGTCTTCTTAATGCCTGTTCATTTATTGTTCACTCTCCTTAATAATTTTTTTTTCTTTTTCACATATTCCTTCACATTCATTAACCTCTTTCATCTTGGTGGGTTTATTGCTTTGTTTGGGGTGAAATGATTGTCATATATATATATATATATATATATATACATATCATTGAATATGACAGACAAGGTGCTTTGATTTAGTTTTTATACAATTTCTCATCTGATCTAATATTTTTTTCTTTTCAGATGATAAATTATATAAAAACTGTCCAATTGTTCTTTTTATCCAAATGCTTTTGGCTATACATTTAGCCATTTTCAAGGTTGAAATATATTAATTTTTAACAAGGAATAGATTGTTGTATGTATGTATTTCTTCTGATATTTAAAAAAATATATAAAACTATTATTATTTGATGATTTTGTTTTTTACCTGGAAAATCCAAAATGAATGTTAATTGTCTTTCTGGATTCTTTTTATGAACAGCTTTTGTTATTTTCTCCATTTTCTTTCTCCAGCCAGAAAGTTCTGCCTGTAAAGGAAGAATCCATTTTGTTTCTTGGAATGGACTCCATTCAGCTTGTAGAATATCTGTCTTGGGATTGAAGATCCTGTACACACAAAAAGAAGCCAAGTATTATATATACGCAGAAAATAAAATTGCAAACCCTCAATATTAAAATTGCAAAACTCTTAATATTAATTTGTATTACTGTGAATGATGTATCAACAATATTCACCCCCCTATTAATGCACTGTATATTCTCATTGAATGATAACATGGACCTGTACTTTCAAATGCATACAATCTTAAAGATGGCATATAGAATCTTAGGATGCATTATTCTATGCATCTTGCAATTGTTAATGCAATACAACAAGTGCTGTAGGTAGGTTAACTGAATGAGTCAGGTGTTGTCCCATCATATACTGTACGTATTCAACATAGAGAGTTCTGGTGATCATGCCAACCAGGGATGTTATCAATTATTTGTTATTATTTTGCAGAATATATTGAAAAGTACAGATATAATATGGGCAAGCATTATTTTGCTGGAATAATACATTGTCTTCCTGTTGCAGGAATGAGTGCTGTTCAGTGAGTGAGCACCCCATACCATGTAGTCAGGGTTTTGACATATGTTTTATAAGTAAATATAATCTGGAAGATGCTACATATGCATGCAAACAACCATGACATGTATAAAAGTAGAACTGGCTCTTATCACTGAACACAAAAGTGTCATTCAATCCTACAACCTTCACATTCCTGGGTTGCTCAGTAAAGTCACGTAAAATCTTTTCCATTTCCTCCATGCACTACTTGCAAATATCGTAATTGGCAAAGAGATTTCCCACAGTTTGTTGTTGCCCTGTTGTTCATAGATGAGAATTTCAATTTCAATGCAAAAGCCATCACTTTTATTTTACTCTTTTGTGTGTCAGTGTACAATGCACATGCCATAGATGTTTTCAAAATTGACATAGCTATTGAGAAGAATGCAGTCTGTGCTAGTTGATTTGCTGCTCTTTAGGACTTGGTGGAAAGAAATGGAACAGAATCTCAGTGACTTTACTGAGCGACCTAGGAATATGAAGGTTATATATCAGCCCATTTCAGGAAGTAAACATGAGAAGAATGTCTATGCAAATGGAATTGAACCAGTCTTCAGAAACATCAACATACAGATTGACTATTCTGGACTCGGTTCGAAATAAAAAAAAAGAACACCTGAAAAAGGCTGGTGCGTACAATGATCAAAACATTGTGAATATAACAATAAAGATGAGGACAACAGTGGGCATAATTTAAATAGTGTCAACAAAAACAAAATTTAAGACTTTCTGTTATTTTTTACTATATTATTTTAATATGACAGGAGTCATTTTTTAAGATTAAAACGTGTTGATTTGACGATTTTGCAACAAATAATTATCATCATTGGAATATTAATTCCAAAGAATAACAATTAGATGTAATAACTATTTTACATCTTCATCTTTATTGCCATATTCACCTTCAACATCTCTCTATATTTCTGAGATGAGGTTATATAACTATTTACACTATTTACATTATTCGGACTGTTGTCCTCATCTTTATTGCCATATTCACCTTCAACATCTGTCTCTATTTCTGAGATGAGGTATTGTAACTTTTTACACTATTTACATTGTTCGGACTGTTGTCCTCATCTTTATTGCCATATTCACAGTCTATATTTCTGAGATGAAATATTGTAACTATTTACACTATTTACACTATTTACGTCATTCAGACTGTTGTCCTCATCTTTATTGCCATATTCACCTTCAACATCTGTCTATGTTTCTGAGATGAGGTATTGTAACTTTTTACAATATTTGCATTGTTTGGACTATTGTTCTCATTTTTATTGTCACATTCACAACGAGCAACCCAGGAATATGATGGTTATATGTCAGCCCATATCAGGAAATAAACATGAGAAGAATGTCTATGCAAATGTAATTGCACCAATCTTCAGAAGCACCAACATACAGATTGACTATTCTTGGTTTGGTTTGAAACATTGTGAATATGACAATAAAGATGAGAACAACAGTCTGGACAATGCAAATATAGCTTATTTATACAAGATTTTTTATTCCTCTTTGTAGCATGACTTTGAGTTTCATACCAAAATCAGTCTTCAGGTAGGAATATTAATTAATAGAATGGCATCAATTGGGCCAATTTATATTATGCCAACTCTATTTGTCTCTTGGATTTACATATGCAGTTACTCTGGATATACATTCTTTACACAAAAGCACTGAGTATGTAGGATTTTTAAGAAAATAATTTCTATTGTTGTGATCAACCTAAAACTTGAGTGGAATATAGTAAATACTTATGATATACAATGTATAAAAAGAAATAAAGTAATGTTTGCCAATGCATTAATTTATTGACAAATGCAACAGAAAGCCTTGGATCAGCTATCAGCAATGACCCTCATCAACCTTTAAGGTTTGTGGTTGATGATGTCCAATACCTGCTAGATGAAAAATGCCATCTTTTTGATATCAGACCATTTAGAACAGTGATTCCCAAAATGGACAGTACCTATCGCTTTATCCAGGGGGACAGTGAGAAAAAAGTGAGCAGCCATAGGGTGGCAGTGGCACATCTGAACCCTAACACACACACACACACACACACACACACACACACACACACACACACTGTACCCAAAGTATATCTTGCCTTCAATTTACAGTGTATCCCATTTAGATAACAATTATTATGGAAAATACTAAGAAAGCTATTTAACATGCAATACTAGCAACAAGAAAATCCAATCAATACATTTAGGTGGGTAGGGTTGTGTTTTGGTAAGTAATGGGGCGGCAACCCAAAGACTTTTCAGAACCACTGATTTAAAATGTTTCTTTCTTTCAAACATGGATGATATATCAGACTCTGTTTTAAAAGAATTAAAAAGAACTGAATGCACCAAATATTTCTATTTTACTTACCTTTGTTGGAATCGTTTTGTCATAGAAATCCACACATCAAAATAGAGTTCTATATTCTTAAGGCCATATTTTTTAAGTCTATCCTCAATACAAGTGGCATACTGTTTTACCATATCAGCATGGAGAGGCCATCTTCTCTCACTTCTGACAAAAGCCTGAAAAGAATGATTTGATAATAAATAGCCAGGAAATAAATAATGTCATTCACCAATTAAAGTATTTTTTTAAATTCAAAATCCAGCACACTCTAATTCCATATTTTACTACTTACCAGTGGATCAAGAAATCCAGTTTCCCCAGTGTCTTTCTGGATATAGGTAATTTGGACATGTTGGATGTTCCATCTATGAACCATCATATCCCAGGAGTAACCATATAACCCATTTGTCCAATTGTTATAACCCTATAAAAGAACACCAATCAGAAGACAAATTTAAACAAATATTTGTTTCAGTGATCATACATCAATAATTTATTAATTACATTTCTCATTGATGTCGAATAGAGTAGATATTACTGCTTTGTCTGGACAGTAATTATAATGGAGAAGCAAATTTATAAATTTCAGCTTCCTTTCTATATCTTATTGGTTGTCAGTGATAAGGCCAACATGACTGGCAAATGGTCAAGATGTACAGATCAGTCATTTTTGTAGCTGTGCCCTCTGTAACGTCTGAATAAAATTTTCTTTTTGAATAAGATTTTTAAAAATTGGTGATACCAAAATTAAACAAGTGCAAAATGTGCAGGAAGTGTTTTAACAGAAGATGGAAATTGTGAAGGCACATTAGGACAGCAAAAGATGCCTTCCAAAAACTAAGTAAAGTATTAAAAAACAGGAAAATTTCTTTAGAAACAAAGAAAAGTGTACTGAACTGTTACGTAATATCAGTCCTCCTATATGGCAGTGAATGCAGGACAATCTCATCACAGATGGAGAAGAGACTTGAAGCAATAGAAATTTAGTTCTACAGAATAATGCTGAGAATACTATCAACTGAACATGTGAGCAATGACAAAGTTTTTGGGAATAGCTAAAAGAACACTTATATAAAGCATCAGAAAGAGATAGTTGAAATTTCTTGGGCATATAATAAGGAAAGAAAGCTTAGAAAATTTGACACCCACAGGACATATTGAAGACAAGATGGACAGAGGAAAGCAGGGCATAACCCCTGCCTAATGAGCTTGTGTAATTGGTTGGCAGAACAGATAGATATAGCAGGATATATAGCAAAAAGATAAACTTTACTAAGGGCTAAAAAGAAGAGGGAAATGTGGAGAGCCATGATTGTACCTGTCTTAAAGGGACAGTGCATATAGGAAAAGACTTTGAGAAACATTTTTTCCATGTGCACTGGACTTACAAAAGAAAACATCTGACAGTGAGAAACATTTATAATGCTATCATTTGATTTAAATGTAAACAACTCCAGTCTATTGTCATTTTCCAAGATAGAAAATACTTTGTTGATAAATGAATTGTGATATATATGTAACCTTATCATTGTAAGAACATAAAACTAAATCCCTCATACATAAATTTATTACTTATTCACTTCTGAACTTCGTCAATCAATTCAAAAGCATAAGGGTGTGTAGCTATGGAGGCTTTCTTTAAATGTAGATCTTCTTGCAAAGATCTGAAAAACTCTGTGTTCTTTCCCTCTTGAGTAAGGCACTTATATAACTTTCTCTTATCTGCTTGTCCTACAATCACATTCATGTAAAAGGTAGCTATTGACATCCTGTGAGGAATGACTCGACATCTTTTGTTAGACAGGGAAGGCAGATACTTTCAATCCATATGCAGTTCATTTCACAGGGTTATCATTGAAAAATTGAAAGCATTTTCTATGGACCTCAAATAATGAAGTTTATCAGGGATGAAAACCTTGTTAATGTTATGAATCCTCAAGAGTCAGATACATAGGCTGTATCTGTTTTGATGGTTAAAAACTTTCTTGGTAACACCAAGGCCCAAAACTATGATGAGCTGGTGAACAATATGACAATAAAATTTATAGTCCTTCTACTATTGAGAAAAGGGGATTTAAGTAGGGGATCTTGAATCACACATTTCAAAACAGTAATACTGTGTAGTGGTATGGTAATAAGAATGGACAATTGTAGATGTTTGTTTATGGCTGCATGAATAACATGACCACACAATTTATATCAAATGTAAAATACTACAAAGCATGAAATACAAGAAGGAACAAAATGGTTCTAAAACATAACATTTGTATTTATTTGTGTGTTGATGTACATGCGTAGAAGTTAAAGCTCTGTTGGAGTTATGTCTCTTAGACTGGGAATATTTTTATCTGAACTCACAAATTAATTATTAAACTGTAGTTTTAGAAGAATATTTCAAAGAGAAAAGTTTGTGTTGCATGTTTGAAAATGTTCTGTATGTTTGTAATGTAGGTCAGAAAAGTTCATACAAACGTGCATGTGTGAATGTGCTTTTAATGTCTGACTGTCCATGGTCAAGACAAGAATGCTAAAGATCACATCTTCACAGGAATCTGGAAGAGTAAAAGAGAATAAACGAACTCGTGTCTGTCATTTATAGATAATGTAATCATGTGACAGGATCACAGCACCTTGGCGGGAAACTGGACTTGGTCACGTGCTGGAAAAATATTATTGTGCGTGGGTGGATTGCAACGCCCACTTGTGTGTTTATTGACCAGTTAGAAGCTGATATTTCCTGAAAATATTTACTAAGCTGAGCAGGCTCTCTGATCCACTTTTTTGCACAAAAATGTACAAAATTCAACATTTATAAGAAAGTGGTAGCAAAAATTTGTCTTTAGCAAATAAATGGACACATTAAAAAGCTGGTCATTGTCTATCCTGAACTTAAATTGATTTGTGGATTTTATCTAGAATTTTTACTGACTAACCTTTGTGATGAAATGGGAATAAGGCAGAAAAAGCTGCAGTGCCAAGTAGATGATGGTGAAAATGGTTGATGCAACATGATAGATGGAATATTTCTTTTTCTTGGAATCCTTCTTTATCAGTGAGTGACTTGAGGCAGATTCTTGCCTCATAGATGAAACAGACTTTGGTCCTGATGAAGAAACAACCTGCAAAAATTTGTAACTCAAGTTAGATGAGAAGATAAAACCTTTTGATATAACCGAAATTAACCTTTAACAATAAACGTGAAGCTACAAATATATGTGTGAATATGAACTAAATAATAAGATATTAGCAACTGTATATGCGTGCGATAGCATACATATGCAGATAAGCAAATAAATATTTAGTTAAATTTTTGATACAAACATAACAGAACTATGAAGTATATATATTAATAAATAAACATATACCTATGTTTGTAGTGCAACTTAAAGTTTCATGGTTTCCCAATTCATCAGGCACATATGGAGATTGAACCGCTTATTACAGTTGTTTTTTAAAAATATTGGGTTTCATGGGAGGGACACTAAATTAGATTCAAAGCTAAAACTTAATACAAACCCAATATATTATTGGGGTGTAAATTCAAAATATAGAATGTATCGAGGGATATACAGTGAAAAACGAAGCAAAAAAAAATATGATGCAAGGTTAATGTTTATATGGTACATTTTTTTCTATTGGGGAAAAAAAGCGAAGATTTAAGTTAAGAAATAATAAAGCGTAACAACAAGCAATATTTATAAAAAGGAGTGGGTAGCCTTGGTGGATTGTATATTGTTTATAAATAATCTATATGTTTCAAGGGAGTAACACTGCACAGTATATAAATCTAATGTTTAATAATATTAGGATATAAATTAAAAAATAAAAAGAGTAGACAGATTGACATACTTATTACCCCCCCCCCACTTTAACCATTTAATCATCTATTAATACACAATAGGTTACATGGCATTCCTCTTTTCTTTAAATATACATTTTTTTC